GAGTTGTAACAGTCGTATGACCTCTACACTTCCTCGGGAGAAACTGCAAATCGGCGTAGTTTGCCAAAGCGGGCCGACGAAAAGTGAAAAATGTTTCACCTGAGCGTCTTCTTGAGTGCATCATAAGTCGGGCAAATCCAACAACGAAATCCCCCTTAACATCCCAAGAAACCCCACAACCCTACTTCCAAACGACAGAACTTCAGACCACCAACTCCAAAATAATCTATCGGATAAAGCCATGCAATAACCCCCCCTCCCCCCTCGACTCATCACGCCCCGAAAAAACGTACGGCCGCGGCAAAAATGGAAATCGCGTTCATCCGCGAACGGGATCGCTCAACTTCAGCGCTCTCTCTCACCCATCAGCACATGCCACACTCGCAGCACAGCTGCCGGTTTCCAAGCTCTCCTAGCCCACTTCCAGTCGGTGCAGCTCCAGTGCACGGCCCCCGTATTTCACTCCGACGGCGGATATTACCGGGGCCCGCACCCTCCCATCTCATCCCGGTCCTATCAGAATTATACGCCATAAAAACTCACTCGCCGCTTAATGTGCCACTCGTAAATTTAGGGTCTCCGGAAATGCCGGGCCCATCGTTTCCATCCCGGGGCCGATAGGCCAAAGCGGCGGGGATTCCGAAATTGCATCGTCCTGGCCCCGAAAACCTGCAATAACGCCACACCCAGGTTGTGCGGTGACGCGTTTCCTCAAATACGTTATCGGTCGATCGACGAGAAACGGTAGCTAGTTCCTTTTCCACCAGACGTAACGAAAGCGAGGCAAGAATTCCGTGCAGAAGCAGACAGCATCACCATCACGACGAACCCATAATAATCGTTCGCAATCGAACAGATAAATACAATAACAACAGAATACGCGCATAAAAACCTGATCGTTTTGAAGAACCCGATGCGACCACCAAGCCTCCAGAACCCCATCGTCCAACACCTCCCCCTCAAACGACGCACGACATCGCATCGAGAGTCAAATCGTAGCGGAGCGAATGATGCCCAGAGGCGAGGAGGCGCCTTGATCCGGCTCTGCCCGACCTTTGCAATCTAACGAAACGACGTCCCTGCTCGAACTCGACTGCACCCTAGCTGGAGGTTGGCGTCGTCGGAGACGACACCATCGAATTAACTCTCCCTTAGTCTCCTGGATGACATTTTCCAAAATTCCAAGTAAGGAGCAACAGCTCCTCATCGAAAAAAGTACCCAGCAACGGCACCGAGTCTCTCGAAAAAACGACCGCAACCCCACCGAGCGGACCCAGCCACCCACCGAGCGGACCCATCCTCCCACCGAGCGGACCCAGACACCCACCAGGTTCTCGTTGGTGAGGCGGAGTACGTCCGACTGGAGCATCCTCTCCGTGTGGCCCTGCGGGTCCCGCAGGTTCTCCGCGAGGAGGGTCTGCTGCCGCTCGTTGTCCTTCCGCAACCGCTTCATCTCCTCCTGCAGCTCCTCCTTCTGCTCCTTCTCCCGCTGGAGGTCCACCGACAGCTGCCTGCACGGAGCACCGTCGACGAGAAACGAGATCAATCGGTCCGTTCGGTCGCTTCCGTTCGAAATCGTAGAGGTCACACGATTTGGCTTCAGCGCATACCTTCATAATATGGCAAAGCTCTCGAAATTGAGTTAGGGGGAAATTTGACTAAATCTGCTTCGATTTCGATCACACGAAACAAAAAAGGGGGCAGTGAAATGTTTTTTTTTTTATGCGGAAACTTTCACTGTCATAAAGTGCCATATTGACGATCGTGATAATGCAGGATGCATTCTCGGGTGAATGCATCCTGGGATTCCAGGAAGTGAAGCTTTTGCTCACGACCATGACGACCGTCTCGCTCAAGCTCCACACCCGATACAGTGTGACTCCCGAGGACAGAGTCCAGATGAAAAAACGTCAAGCACATGGAATGCACTTGAAAGTCACTGCGAGGCCATTAATAACAAGTCACATAAATCTTGGGGCTTTTCACTGTATCTTGGGGGGGGGGGGGGGGATAAGGCACAGACCGCCAGAGAAATGGTGAATGTGATACAAACTGACCTCAACGCTAAATAAGTGCAGAATTAATAGATAAAATATTAACTAAATAAATAAATAAGTGCAGAAAATAAATAGAGCAAACCCTCGACACAACGCCGATTTTGGCGCTTTAACATGGGTGACCGTAAATCGAACAAACTGCAGTATTCTTATGATTTCCACACCGAAATATCTAAGGAAAAAAAAAAAACTAAATGGAAGTGAAGATGCTATCGTCACCCCAAGCCCTCTCCAATGCTCCACACTTTTCCCACGATCTATCCTTTCCACGGGTAATACTCATCTCTCGCGGTCTCGCCATCAGTCAGCAACAACATAACAAATATTTAGCCGTATACTAACGGGAAAAGGGGTGCGGCAGGAATGCTGCTTCGCGCAAAATCGAGGATCGACGTGGAAAAATGCACACAAGAGTAATTTCGTTGACGGATGGCGGCTTGCCCCCCGCTATAACGCGAGATCACCCATTATATGCTAATGGGGAAGATTTATTCCCAAGAAAGAGTTGGCGGTATACCGAAGGGTGGTAAATTGAGGGTTCGCCGAACCTCAAATCAGCCTGGAATTTCAAAAGCAGAGGTATTCCATCCCGAGTTGTAACAGTCGTATGACCTCTACACTTCCTCGGGAGAAACTGCAAATCGGCGTAGTTTGCCAAAGCGGGCCGACGAAAAGTGAAAAATGTTTCACCTGAGCGTCTTCTTGAGTGCATCATAAGCCGCGGCATAATCCTGGTTCTCCCCCTCCCCCAGGCCATCCGTCACCCGATTGGCCTGGTCCGCGAGGACCGACCGCAGCTCGATGCACTCGTCCCGCCGCCGCATCAGCTCGTCCTCCAGCGCCTGGTGCTGGGCTGGAACATCGACACGGTCGCGTCACCGACGGTCGCGTTACCGCCATCGCTTTACGGAGGAAATCTTTTTCTGGCCGTCGCTCACCCATGATTTCGTCCGTGAGGGCCCCGTGCCCGGCTGCAGCTGCCATCCGCAATCGTTTCAGCTCTTCTTTCTGCTTGGAGGTCTCGATCTCCAGCTCTTGCAACTGCGACCAAAAGGAGCGATGATTCGTGGAGGAAATGCATGGCATGACTCTAATGTGGAACTTTCAGGCAAAACGGACAAGGACTAAAATTCCAGAAAATAAATAGGTATAAAAAAAAAGCTCCTACTCTATCTCCAATCTCCAATGCATTACAACTGCATTACAATTTCGATGCATCGCTTACAATTTTTACCTGATGTCCAATTTAGATAAAGCCATATGCAAGGAGTGAAATACAAATGCCCTTCATACATTTTTTTTATTACCAATCTTCTCTCATTATAGACAGGGACTGGATTCCTATGAAAAGTATATCTTGAAAAGGTGCACAATTAAACATGGAGAAGTGTCAGAATATATACAAAAAGAGGATGATAATGGAGACAATGTGATCCTCCAACCAAAGAGTACTCTTGCTAAATGAAAGATCTTAGAAAAGCCACCCAACAGGGATTTAAACCCACCCTTGTCTTTATGACCTTTTGAATAGTTTGCAATTGTTATTTTATCCACAAGGATGCATTCCAGGGAACATTTTAGGCTTCCCTAATCCAGGATTGTATTGTTTCTGGGTTCCCCACAAAGCCCAAAATGACAGAATCATTAAGACTTTTTGAAAGTTCCTATACATGCATTAAGTGGAGTTTGGAGACATTGGGGTTTATAAGGACTTCAATTGCCTCTCTAAAGAACTTCTCTCATTCATTCTGTCCATGTCCATTATAAGATGAGAGAAGATATGAAGTCACATGAAAATCCTGTCTCCACTGATGAGATGATAATTGGATACATATTTACAAGAAAAATGCATATGCAGGAGTTTCCAGAAAGGTATCAAACCTGATAAAATGCAATATTGAGAACCAAAAAATGGAACAGACCCGAATGTGGTCCGCAGCTGATTCCAGGGGGGAGACGCTCTTTTCTGTCTGCTGCGAATGCAGTTTCCCACGGAGTTCGGCGTTCTCGTGTTCGTACTTGCGAAGCTTCTCGAGGAGCAGCTGCACGTGGTGCTGGGTCGTGCGTTCTGGATCGGCTCCGTCCTCAGGTTTGTGCCAGCCCAGGTTCTCGAGACGTCTCTGGTCGCTTGCATCCCGGACGCGAGTGGATCCATATCCGGCATCCTGCAGACATTGATGTCAGTCAAACCACACCAATTCAAAATAGTCTGTGAATAATCCTTATGTCAAGGAGACATGTGCATGATCAAAATAATTAATCATTTAGGAAAAATCTGATTATAATGGGATGGAAACTTTTTAAAGTAAGCAGAAAGAACATTACACTACTTAGGCATCTTGCATATTTCTGTCTACAAAGAGAGAAATGCAAATGAGGCTCTAGGTCAGGGATCTCAAACTCGCAGCAGCATATAGGGTGTTTCCATGCGAATGCGGCCTGCAGGCCAGGAGTTTGAGACCCCTGCTCTAGGTCAACATTGCACCACTCATTAGTAACAGAAAGCATACTGTGTAGTAAAAAATCAGCTCATTCTACTTTTTCAAAATCAAAGGGATATGTTTTACCTCCTCAAGTGGGAGTTCAGAGGAAGTGACACTCAAGTGGTCCATGTGAGCCAGGTCTGATGCATCATCACGCACAATATCAGTGGGGGCCTCACTGGTGACACTGATGTTAGATGAAGCCGACCAGTACTGTGGGCCCAAGGGGAAGTGCTGGCGGACGCGAAGCTCCTCGACCGTCTGCTGCAGCTGCTCCTTCTCCATGATCAATGCCTGGTTGCGAGCCAGCAAGGAATCCATCTCGTGCGTGGCTTCCTTTACTCGTCTTTCTGCTGCCTTCTCGATCTCATCTGTTTTATGAAATCCATTCACACCACCTCATCATCCATGAAACACAGCAAGCATTGAGTGAAAAGAAACAACTTGGAAAAAACTTGCATTCATATGGAATAATGCCAAAAATTTTCTGACATTGTGTTCCATGAGAAAACAAAAAAAGATCTTTCCTTTCCATTTGTAAAAGGTATATGGTTAATCTTTCATTACCTGGATACAACTGTTAGACTTGTAAAAGCAACAGTATCAGAGGAATAACATTAAAAATCATCAAAGGGTGATCCAACATACACTAACAGGACAAGAAGCCACTAGCTTCTCGATTTAGTTATAGAACTGATTTTCAAAGCAACTGACAAACGGAAAGTTTGCCAGGTGCCTTTAACGGTACTGATAAACAGTAAAATACAGTCACAAGAGATCACACCTTCATGGGTGAAGCAATATCTGGTAATGAAAATACTCAAATACCATTGCCAGAACATTATGACAATGAACCCAAATTCATCAGTATTCAGAGATGCATAACATGGTAACATACCCTTCAGCCTTCCTTGAAAGTCTTCCTCCATACGAGCAAGTTGGTCCTGAAGCTCCTTGCTCTTCAATTGGGCCTCATCTCGTTCAGCCTGCCGAGCTTCCAATGACTTCTGTTTCTCCTTGAGCTCGTGGGCCATCTGCTCTTTGGATAGGCGTTCCTCTTTCAGCTCCTCCTGGAGCTGCCGGATCTGGACCAATTGGGCTTCCCGTGCATCATGCTCGTGTGCTTGAAGTTCCTTGATTTTTGCTTGCAGCCTGTGATTCTCTGTCTGCAGGTTGTGGAACTGGGAATTCTCTTTGGCCTGCAATCATGATGTCACCCATTATTATAACAGGAAAAAATTCCACCTCAGTTGTTGCATTGCAAAAATATGTCTTGAAGACCTGTGCCAGCAATTAAGTTTTGGGGAACATCATCAGCTACCAGGTTTAGTTATGAAGAACACCATGCAAGTAGAAAACTAACAGTCCACATCTTATGTCTCACTGAAGTATTTTCTTCAGCAAAACAATTGTTAAAACTTCATGAGAAGGAGGGTTCTCAAAATACACTCACATCAGCAGTTGCATTATCCAGATCAAAGTATGGTACCAAAGAACAGGGGATAAGGGGAGCCAGACTCACCAGTTCATCAATGCGATTTTGCAGAGACATGATCTTGTTCTCCAGACCTCTGTTGAGTTTCTTAACGTGCTCAACTGAACGTGCCTCTTTACGGAGCTCCTTGAGCTCGTGGATGGCGCATTTCCTTCGCCATAGGTTCTGTACAATGATGAGGTTTCTTTTGGCCTTTGAATATTCTCGACGGGCCAGAAAACCTCGGATGTGCCGTTGGATAACCACAGCCTATAGCAAAAAAGGGACAGTAAAGAGAATTTTTAAAATATTGCAGTTCCATGTGTAAAGGAGATGAATGACACTTGACAGGACCTTTGCATTATGAAGAAGATTGAGGTAGTGAAGACGGGCATTGTGAGCACGAATGTGTGCCTGGAGTCGAATGACCCAGGCACGCATCCTCTGGTACTTCCTCTGGCAGACGAAGCTTCTGACATGCTTCTGTATCTTGATAGCAGCTCGGGTCTGGCGGATCTCCTGAGCGGTTCTGCACATTTAAGCATTACAGAGTTGCTATTGGAGTCTTTCAAAACAGCAAGCAATTCTCAGATAGTTTTACTTTTTTCCCCTGATAATTCCTAGACAACCAATACATTAAAATCTCAATAAATAAAAATCAACTTACCTGCGTGCAAGAAATCCACGTCCAAAGGTTTGTAAGAGGAGGATAGATTGTGTGATCTGCCTATAGTTGCGCCTGGCCAAAAATCCCCGGAAGATTCTCTGAATGAGGACTCCACAAGCAAGGAGACGATCCGATCTACGCTTCTCCATGTATGCCAGCTGACCCGCTCGAAGGAACAATTTTGTCTTCCCAAATTTATATTTGTCTTCATCCTTGGAGAGTACAAAAGACACATTAACCAATGGATTGATCGATGTCTTCTGAACTCAGGTGGGAGAAGTTCTTCCAACCTGGATGATTCCCTGGATGATTTTGGCACATGTGGCAGGCAAATCAGACCGCTTGATGTCTTTCGTCTTGATGAGAACACGATACCGCCAGAAGAACTCTGGGTATGTCCATCTGACAGAAAGAACACAACCTTATACCCAAGACCCAGCATCTTCAACAAATCAAAAGGAATTGGTATACATGGGAGAACCAGTAACCAGTGTACACCTTTGGCATAGTTGATCAAATTAAGGTAATTTTTCAAACCTGGAAGGAAATCCAGCTGCAGAGATGCGTACTGTCTCCAACACGCCACAGGCCCGGAGTTGCTGAACGGCACGTTTTGGGTCGAAATTGAATGCCATCTTATCGTCATTGGGTTTGATGCATCTCACGTAGTGTGGAGTCGTGGCATTCAAAGTCTTCATTAACAGGTTCAAGGAGTCATGGAACTGAGACCCCACCTGCATTAGGAGAGGGAAAGAGGCCCATTCAACAAATGACTGAAGGCTTTGTGTTCTTAGATGAAGGTATCCTCAATCAGCAAAATATGCACACCGTCTGCTTTCGGTGTTTGGATGCAGAAGGGGAGGCTCCAGTTGATGGGGATGCAGTAGACAATCCCTTGTTGGTGGAAGAACCTCTTGGCATTGCTGATGGAGCAGTTTTGCTGGTGGGCGTGGAAGAACCTCGTGGCATTGGTGATGGTCTTGCCTTGGAGTGCTTTGCTCTCTCCTCTTCATCCAGGAAAAGCTCCACCACATATAAATCCTAAGGAAATATCATAATTCAAAAGATGCAAGCTTTTGCCTGTAGCAAGCCTACTCCAATATGTAGTCATCATTAAATCACACCCTTTGATCGGAGTAGGGTGGAAGGGGACACTGGGGAAGGAGTATGGGTCTTTATTGGGTCTAAATTTCAGGAAAAGAGGCTTCAGTAAAACTAGAACAGTAAAATTAGAACAATCAGAATTCCTTTGAGGTTTCTCTATATCATGAGTAAAGTTAGCTCTCAGATCTCATGACATTTACATTAATGCAAGCATATATATAGGTCCAAAATGATTCAGTAGTAAAGGTGAACTTACATGACTAGCCTTGAGCACAGAAATCTGCTCTTCGTGCACCGTATCCCTGTTCTTCTCAAGGAATCCTGCACACTCATATGCCACCTGGTCTGCAAAGTGGGAGATGATGAAGGCCGTATTTGAGAGCCGTGGCTTGCTGAAGTGGTGTTGCCCCTTGCACTTGTCATATAGCTTGAGGACCCATGATTCATCTGAGCCTTTGGGCATGCGGCACTCATCGTCCAACAGGGAGAGGATCCCCAGTGGTCTCCCCTCGATCAGGTTGATGCAAGGCTGGTTGTCGTAATAGTCTATGAACTTCCACTCGATCTGCTCTCGCAAATATTCTTCTTGTTCCAGTTTGAACACATGCTGCAGAGAAATTTCAAATGAACTTCAGGAGACTTTTCTATCTCTAACATGGACATTTCTAGATAAAAAATTGCACATGAAATGCCCTTTGTGGCTTCCACCTGTGGTCAAGAGAAGAAAAACTCTTTCTTGTATGCAACAATATGACCTTTTTTCATATGAAGGCAATAAGGGAGTCTCTCCATCTTTAAAGCATTAAAAAAATCTGAGAATGATGATCTTGTGTCTTGAGCATGCACTTCCTGTTTAATACAAATTGATTCTGAAGTGAGCCTACTTGAATACCTTTTAGGATTTAATTTAGCATTCTCACATCTTCAAACTGCATGATATGCAGGCTCAAAGGTACTTGGTGGAAAAATGGAACTTCTTCAGAAATGGTAAGTCATTGGTAGCATCTACTTTGTTCTTTAAAAAATATTTTACTGACTGAAGAATAATTTGTGCCTTTTCTGAAGTCCAAATCCTTCAAAAAAAATTTTCATTGACACCCAAAGACACTTCATGAGACCAGGAGAATACATACTGCCTATCATAATGGTAGTAGGCACTATCAGAAAGTTCCTCAAGTGCTTTAAAAGTATTATATAAGGGCAGTAGCAGTCGTTCCCATTTCATAGTGGTTCCCTTGAAAAAATGGCAAAGGCTCACCCTACAGTCATTCAAATTGAAGACCTGAAATGAAACTGACCTGACAAAACTGCTGCTGCAGCTTTTCATTGGCATAATTGATGCAGAACTGCTCAAAGCTATTGACTTCAAAGGTCTCAAACCCATAGATGTCCAGGACTCCAATGAAGCGGAAAGGGGGGGAGGCACTGGCAAGGCTCTTGTTGATACACTCCACAATCAATCCAAACTGGTTAGCATATACGTGCTTTGCTAAAGCATCGCGAGCAAACATCGCCTCCGATGATGTCATTGGCTTCGTGAACACTTCTCTTTGTGACACGATACGTCTATTTGTCAACCACTTTGCCAATCCCTCCTTGTCCACTTGGAGGAGGTCACTCACAACCAGGAGATGGGGATCATTTTTCTAAAAGTAAAAGCACTCATGTGACCTGGGAGGAATCTTGAAAACATCAATAGATTATATCAGTCAATAGATAATGAGAGGCAGATATTTGTAAAATATCAGAGATATATATTAGAAGTGGGACAAAGGGAGACACAGCACTTACAGGAACATGACACGAATCAGACTGATCCCGAGTATCCAATATGGCAATGTTGCCAAGGTGCAATATAGCTGCCAGAATACGAAAGACCTGCATTTGCATGTCGTTGGAGATTCCAAGGATGCTCAGGGCATTCCGAGTGGCCTGAAACTGTTCAAGGTCATCTATGCTCTCGATGAATGAGTTTCCACCCTGGTTAAGATAGTGGAACTGATCTTGATGTGCTAATGGAAAGAATAAAAAAGTTGGATTCAGAGAAAATATTTTGATTCAACTACTATTAAAGTCAATATCAGGAGCACAAGATATATTCTGACCAAGTTTCAAAGGCTCCATTTCTGGGAGATTGCCAGCTGAACATAGCTGATAGAAGATATGGTAGTTGCGTTCATTAGCTGCCTGGAACACAACACGAGACTTCTCGAGCAGATATGTGCGCATGTTGGCACCAAAGATGGTGTACTGTTTTGTGAAGTCCAATTCTATGTATTTCCCAAATCGGGAGCTGTTGTCATTGCGGGTTGTCTTGGCATTCCCAATGGCCTGTGTGCCAGATAAAAAAATGTTTTCTAGGTTTTTTTTACATTAATTTTGCATTTCATTTTCATATTTTAAAGAAAAAATTTAAAGAACATTTAAGCAGCTACATAAGAAATTCTATTTTAAAAAAAAGGGTATGCAAAGAAAAAACAAATCTGTAGAGAATCGCACAAGGGAAAAGTTTCACTATACATGCATTGCAATGGAACTCTTTTATATGCCATTTACTTCAAAAACCTAAGATCATCATTTCTACACTTTAAACAAAAAGGTTGAACAACAGAAGTGCCAGCATGAAGAATTTATAAAAAAAAGTATCTAAGAAAGGAAATGATCCATAAAAATGTTATCAGTATAAAAAGTCAATTTGAGGCTTCATAATAAATTCAAAACCAAGTTGCTGATCACCCCTCATTAATGCACAATAACTTTCAAAACCATGTAACAAATTGCCTGAAGGACATACTTCCATGATGGGATTGGAAGCCAAGACTTTCTGCTCGATCTGTGTCTCATCTGATGACCCACTGACGGTTGCAAAGAACCTCATGGCATACTTTGCTGACACTGTTTTCCCAGCTCCTGATTCTCCAGATACAATGATAGACTGGTCCACATTCTCCCTGAGGTAAGGGGTAACAAACAACATCCAACATTTTTCCATAAAGAAAAGAATTCCTCATTGCAAGACACCAATGACCTACCGTTCCATCTGTGTGAAAGCTGCCTCAGACACAGCAAAAATGTGGGGATCAAGATTGGCCATGTCTTGACCCCGATAGGCCATGATGGTGTCAGTATCGTAGATTGCCAGATCCTCATATGGATTGATGGCCACAAGGACAATTCCTGTCATCAATGCATAACAGAAAAGTGATTAATCTGACCAGCTCAAATGCAATCGTGAAGCTTCTTTCCATGTTAGCTTGTAAACCTCCATATGCTTTGGGAGTGACTTTGAAGCAATGGAAGAGGGACAATTAAGCCATTCCCATGAATCTCTCATTGCTCTTATAAGTTTCACACATATAAGTGCAAGTGCACAAGAGAAAGTAAGGTCTAAGGTTGGAAATTAAACGCCACAAAATATATCACTAAACTGTACTACTTGGCCATTATTATTCGATCTCATTTTACTGCAGGCAATTCAAGAGACTGAATTCTTGAGTACATCAGTACTACTGAACAACATCAGGTAACAGACTCCTAGAAACAGGAAGGGAATATAAATGACCTCTGTCTTCAGAGAAAGAGAGCGTGTTAACCCCTTTACCACTTAGATGAATGCAGCTGGTGTTGAGAATGCAAGAACATATAAGCATGTTTCTACAATTCTGCCAAGAAAGACATCAATGGCATCAATGAAAAAGAAAAATGCTTACCACAATATGTGTAGATGGCATTATGCTGATTGAATCGGTACTGGAGATTATGCAGGACTGCTGGCTCATGAAGGTATGACAGAGCTGTGAGGTCATTCTCACCCACCAATATGTCTGGATTTCTCAGGGGAGGTAGATCCTTTTCATTCTTGATTTCCAAACTAAACTCCTAAAAAGGTCAGAACAATAGAGGAGCAGACTTCACATGAGCCAACAAAGTTCTCCATTTGTAGACATTTAATTATTTCTTCAGTCATTTTAGAAAGAGTTCACACTAAGTTTTGATCCAAATCCAGATCCTGATCACAAACCTCTTGGTCATCATCAAGAATTAGATGAAGGATTTCTCCCTTGGTCCCCTTGTAGTCTTTGGAGATGGTGGCAGACTTCCAGACGGCATCCTTGTCCGGCACCCAGACCCGCGCCCCCTGTAACGTCCGTAAAAAAAATTTACTTCCTGCTCCTGCTAAATCGCACAAACACAACACTAGAACATGCTAACATGTGCTGGTGCCAACATTCCAGTTTGTGATTTCTGAGATACCAGGTATGTCAATTAATTAAATCAATTGAGACCACCTCATAAGATAACATGGGTAAGTCTATAATAATTATAGAGTACATTAAATAATAAATTCTTATGGATAAAAACATCTTAAATTATAATCCTAAGTATGTTAAAAGCTTAACTCACGTTAATTAACATACTTTACCTATCTACAGTAAATCATTGAGAAATATCATTTTATTTTGTTCAAGATTTCCTTTTAAAATCTGGCATAGGAAACACAGAATTTCGACATTGAAGATATTCAAGGGCCTTGTGGACAACTCCTCTCACCCAATCTCCTCCACGCGCGATAATTTTTTATTTCATGGACGCCGGAACTGAAAACAATGCGTTATCCGGTCTATAAATGGTCTCCCAAGATGACAAATTTCAGAGCCCATTTATAATCAATCTATTATTATCATTATTGAAACATAAACTGATAACGGCAATAGCTCAATTATTCCAGCCGCTATTTAATAATAATTTTTAACTTGCAGGTCAGTGCATCCAAAACACATTCCACGTAATCATGACGCGAATCGCCCATGACAAGTTTTCCCTAGCTCTCTTCTGAGTAGCTCACAGCCAAGAAACGACAGAAGACCGAACACATCCAAGCGCCACACCTGTCGAGACCCCTGACCCACCCACTCACTTCGGCATAGCAGGACGGATGCGCCTGGGCGATGAAGGGGTAGGGCGCGGGCCGCGAGACGACCCCCCGGCCCCGGTCCAGGGTCGTGGCCCTCGGTCGCAGCTCCGCCGACATCCGCTTGCTCACCTCGTATTTCCCCCGCCGGGACGTCAATCTTTCCGGGGGGAGTCCATGGGGATTTTACATCTCGAGGCGGTTAAGAATGAGATCATTGGGGCTCAAAAATGTTACATTTCCGGTGGACACGAACGATGAACGTCTCTTCAGCGAAAATGCTTCATTTTACTTTTTACCCCGTTGCTAAAATATCGATGCCCCCCCCCCCCCCAAAA